AGATAAATAAAACTTTCATGAATAGTTAAAAAATGTATCTGATTGTAGTATACTAATTGCAATAAACAGTAGTTTGAAGGCCCCTTTCCTTTTAGTACAAAATTAATAGATTTATAGGTGTGCATTTTAACATCTTTTGCCTCAAATATGCGCTCCAAACTTTTTCTTGATTGAGACATGTTAAATTCTTTCATCTTTTGCAGTGTTTCCAAATTGTAATTTTTCTACCCAATTTTTACATCTGTCCTATCATTTTCTGTAAAGCTGCTTCTAGCCATTACATGTCCACACTAAATGGTTAAAAGAGATGTGTTTAAGGCAATGGTGAGCAAACTCGGTCCTGGAGGGCCGGTGTCCTGCATAGTTTAGCTGCAACACTAATCAAACACACCTGAACATGCTAATCAGTGTCTTCAAGATTACTTGAAATCTATAAGCAGTAGGGATGTAACGGTATCAGAATTTCACGGTACGATAATACCTCGGTATGAATGGCACGGTATGGTATTTATTGAATAATTTACAGGAAAAACAAAACTAATAAAAAGACTCAAAAAAGTGCCAAAAGTGTTTATTTACCTTAGCACTGAACAAATCAATGACATACAAATTAGCCATCTATCTGTAAGTTTCGAAACAGGAACTTCAATTTTTCAATTTTAATGACAAAAAACTATTAAACTATTGAAATAAAGTTTCAATTTAGTATTGTTGAAAACTCATCACATTCAACATTTAATCACTCACTCACTTAGATAGAGATGGTTTTTTAAGGAAAATTATCATAAACTATAATCTGGTAAAAGCTGGCATCTCTGGGCATGTCCCCTGCAACAGAAAAAACCCTCTCATTTGGGACTGAGGTTTCTGGGACTGAGAGATATGATTTAGCCAAGATTGACAGCAGTGGGTAACGTTGTGCATTGTCTTTCCACCACTTGAGAGGACAAGCCATGAGTGAGATAGAGGTCTCTTTGCAGTACAAGCCATGTCTGCATTAATCTAACAAGTGTGCTGTGTTCTGCAGTCCTCATGACTGTTTTTAGTCGTATTCCCCGACTTGTATTTCACCACAGTCTGGCAGTGCCTGCATATTGTTTTTTTCTTTGTCTGTCACATTTTTCCTTTTTCGTATCTTTTTAGAAAGAAACCGAAATGCTTTCACAACCCGCTTTAGGTTCGATCATTTCCAGCTCTTTTTCTTCAGCGCTACTAGCAACACATCCCATTTCCGCATTACTGGATCTGTAGTGGCAACAGACTGCAAAGGATGATGGCCACGCCTAGGCTGATGGGAATTGTAGTTCCCGCTACCTCCCGTTCACTTCATTCGCCAAAGCAAACTTTTCTCAGAAATATAGTTTTATTGAGTCATGCGCCTACTGTAATGTTGAAAAAAATTACTATTGCGATATGACGGTATTTACAATATTGTTACATCCCTAATTAGCAGTCATGTTTGATTAGTGTTGGAGCTAAACTGTGCAGGATACCGGCCCTCCAGGACAGAGTTTGCCCACCCCTGGTTTAAAGTATTATATGCAGCATCTTTAATTTATTCTCTTAGGTAAGGCGAGATCAGAATCAGTACTCGGTATCGGCCTGATCACTATGACAAAGAATCGCTACTCGCCTTTATCAAAACATTTTGATTCATGAGTCAAAGATGGAGTAATGTGAATGCCAGGCATAACCGTATCAAAACATAAGAGTTTTAAAACAAAAACACACTAGTGTAAACGACACCAGAAGTAAACACCTCAAGTACTACAGATGTTGGTAATTGAAATAATAATAAAAAAAGCTAACAAGATAAAGTATAAAACTAGTCACACAAAATAGCTGGCCTAACAATTGCAACCAATCCCAAAGTTAGGATAATTCTAAGGGCCCACACATTAAGGGAGCCCCCAGACCCATTACCAAAGGCCCGTGACATTGCCCTTCCCCCTGCTCTTGACTTTTGACCGGGACAAATCTCTGGAAAAGAATCAGAACAACCCCTATTTTTCTATTTTTAGCTGAAAACTGTCTTGTAGACATGCTTTAGGATGAAAAGTGTACTGTTTTTATAACATGGACCACTGCCGAAGCCTTCAAAACAATCTTAAACAGCATAAATTGTAGAAATTCAATGCATGTTTCATAAGCTGCTGCAAACAAACTGGCTTCTATCAAGACCACACAGATCAGACTTTCCAAAAGCACTAGATAGCCTGAGTATAACCATTTCCCATTAGACTGAAGAAGCCACAGCCTACATTTCCAACAACAACAACAACATCATCATCATCATCATCCCAGGCCTTCATAACAGTCTTGATGAAGTGCTCTGTGTTATAAAATAGATTCAGACCCCTGAGGGATTCTGGATAAATCCTGGCCACAGTTTGAATGGAATATTGTGACCAACAAAGGTCATTCCTAAGAATAACCTTATTACAGGCGATACGGATAAACCAATAAACCAGCCAATGAGAGGGCAGGCCACAGGTGCTTCCGTATGCGTGATGTTACTCCGAATGCATCATTAAGACAGAAGTCCCGACAGATCTGAGGAGACAGCAGACTGAAAGAGACAGATAAGCTTGTTTAAGACTAATGCACAAAGATTTATAATCAGGGCCACTTTATCTTTCGACGAAAACAGAGCTTCATCTAATCTTTCTGGAGGCAAAGTGCTAAATCCTGATTTAGGCTGTTTTGTACACGTAAAATCACAGATATAAAACGCCTTTCTGTGGACACCTCTTTTTATTTACTCAGAGCCAAGATGGGACAATAAAGAACTGAATTAGCTCACTCCCACACTGCAAGAGGGAGTTACATAAAGGCACAATATGTGCTCATTTTGCAAGTATTCAAAAATAACGAATGCAAGTTAATCACTTGTTCTCAAAGTATTACAGACCCAGGCTTTGTACAAAAGAGCAGCTTTGGTAACACAATCTCACAGCAATTCCTAACTTTTTTTAATTAGTGGCTAATTCTTATGCATTTGTACGATCTCATTGCACAATTTAGTACAATTTGCTCATCTCCCAATGGCATTTGGGTTTAGGGGCGGGGTTGGGTGCCACACCCCTTTTTTAAAAATTGTACATTTTTGTACGAATTAGCCACTAAACTGACAAAACGTAAAACACTTAGAGTAAAATTAGAGTAAAATTAGAGTAAAATTAGACTTGTTTTGGATATGAAATCACGAATAAGATGACAACATTTCAGTCTGAAAGAAGAGATCACAGGGGTTTTCATTTTGGGTGCATATCAATGGAAATGGGTGCTATCTTATCATCTGCAATATACCGGTAAAAATTTATACAACTATAATAAAAAAAAACTTATTGTTTTAATAACGAGAACATGTACAATTGGTCTCTGCTATGAACTATTACAGAAGCCCATGTGCAGTACAATTTTGTGTGCTTGTTTAAAACAGGGATGTACGCACAAATTTTCACTCTAAATTCACTTTATATAATCAAGTGTTTGAAATCACTCCTCTTTATGAAGAAATTTTAGTAGTATAGTTGTTATAGTATTCTATACCGTGATAAAGACTAGGTCAATTAGCTTTGCATTATAAATAAACATTATCCTTTTTAAAATGCCCAGGATAAATAGGCCTAGCTGCACGACAGTGAAAACATCTAGCATTGCGATGTTTGTTTATTTTACAAAATCAATTGCGATATGAATTCATTTTTACCAGATGACTTAGTATCTCTATTTGGAAAGAATTTATAATGTTTGATCGATTGGAATGATTGTGCAGTGCGATGGATTTCCATAAAATCTAATAAACAATCTATACATTCTTTCCATTTTTATCATGGTCTTTGCTATTTGCAGAGCATTTCTGTATTTGCATGTGCTGTGAGTATTGCGAGTGTAAATACAATTAAGAAAAAGATACAACAAAAATCAAGTATTATTTCCTGAGTCTGACAATATTCAAATAAAATAATTGAATAATAAAGGTAAAAATAATTCGATAAAATTAATAGTTGTTAAGTTTACAAATACAATTTCGTATGCCTGAATGCTTTTAAAATCAATTCCAGGCATCAAAAAACATGCAAATGATAAATTATAATACAAACTGGTTAGCATCGTGCAAATGTCAGCTGAAGTTCAGATTTTCCAACGTCAAATGCGTCAAACGCCCAAAACGCTTGGCATTCGCATGCTTCATTTGCGCAAAACACACCACAGGATGTTAATTTGCATCTTTGCATTGACTTAACATGTAAATCACTCGCGTTTGATGCTTCATCCACGTCTGGTGTAAACGCAGCATTAGGAATTCAAAGTTCTTCATCTGCAGTGTTCTTCAGACATGAAGTTGAGTTGACAATGACAGATAACAAACGATAACCATTTTCAAGGTTTACTGTGGTTTGGAAAAGTCAAGGTTTTTAAAACTTTACTACGGGATATATTAAAACGTACTACGGTATATGTAGATTTGTTTTTTTTAACCACTATTTTAATTATTTTTAGGGCAACAGTATCTTAAGCAGAAAAGTGTCTCAAATTTGGGTCAGCCCATGATTTAGCAAACAACAAATCGCTAATACACCAACACCAACAGTTCTGGACCTGAACTGACTTTATATCCAAAGACAAGACAGATATCGAAAGATGCCTTTTAAAGATGCTTTTGAAACTAAAAAAGATAGCAGAAGTTAATGATTTATTAATTAAATTATTTAGCCTGACATGTTTTCTGTTCTAAAATAATTTAAATGTTTTTTTTTTTTTTTTAAATGTGAAGGTGTTCAATGGGTGGAAAAGGTGTTGTTTTCTTACTAAGCCATTTAAGAACATATTTTAGAGCAGTAATCACAATACATGATATTTTTATCCAAGGTTATCATACTGTCAGAATCTTAATGCTGTAATGACAGATGAACTATTCTCCTGAAACTTCTAGCAATCCTGCATGTCACGTGTGAATTCCGCATGCACATTCACTCTTTCATCTGCTTCTTCAGCCTCCACGTGGTCCACCGGCATCCGGATCACCTCTTCCATCACCACAACATCCAGCACTCCTTTCTCCACTGCCATCTCTCCTTCTTCTCCTCTCTCTCTATGCACTAATCCATTCATCCCACCCACCCACAAGCCCCACGGCTCGCTATGGAGAAGGTGCAGCACATGACACGGGCGGCCATTCGGCGGGCGTCCACCATGGAGGTTCCCCAACAGGCCAAGCAGAACATGCAGGAGCTCTTCGTCAACTTCTGCCTCATCCTCATCTGCCTGCTGCTCATCTACATCATTGTGTTGCTAATGTGAGCGGGTTGGGTCTCCCTCTAGCCAATGAGAGCGAAGGACTGTACATTGGGGGCCAATCGCGGCGTTAAGGGGAGTGGGGGGTTATTATTTATAAAGGGTTTAGAGTAGTTGGGTTCTACAATGCATTATTTGTTTGTAAATAGTACACATTTAGAGGTTAGGAGGGTAGGGATAATAATAGGCATTAATTATTGGTGTGTTGGAGGATTTTAAGTGGATAAAAGATCTGGCTCATGAAATGCAAATATATGTGATATATGAGTAACATAATTTAAATCTGTAATTTAATAAAATTATGGGCCAAATATTAAGGCAGAATTACATGAATACTTTGAAAAAAGATGGTGAATAAGGGGAAAACAATGAGAAGTGCATACTTTCGGAGTGTAATTAAACATTTAAATCATTACCGAAAAACAGAAAAAATGTTACTCTATCCTTCAGAGATTTGGGCTCAGTAAGTTTTTTTTATTTGTTTCCACTTATTTAGATCTTTCTAACTTTTATATATATGTAAACTAAAGGATGCCTGAAATGATCAGATATTATCGATGGTGCTACAAATTGTACTGCAAAAAAAAAAAAAAAAAACTTTAAGAATTAAGAAAATTCAGTTTTTGATAATTTTTTTTGAAACTGAAAAAAAGATTTTACACAAAAATATTAAGCAGCCCGTTTGCTTTCAAAATTGATGTTGAATATTGCTGTAAATTTTTTATTATTATTTATTTAATTTAAACAATTAATGTAATAAAAAGTTAGTCTTTACATTAGGGTTCACACTCAGCATAAACATTATAGGTAAATGTAAAATGTGTAAAACAACATAATAAAAACATAATACAATAAAGAAAAATGACATGTTATGCTGACTAAATTTAAAAGCAACAAAAAGTCCTTGATTGTCTATGAACTGGACAAAAACAAAATACATTTACAGCAGTGTTTTCTCTAGGATTTTTTCCAGCTGTGGCGGCAGGACTTTTACACAGATCTTCCAGCAACCTAAGGCGTTATTTAAATGACAAATGTCATGAGTGCAGTATTAAAAGCCGAGATCGCATTCATGTAATACGAGCATGCGAATCTCTACGTGCACGCCGATTTCCTCTGTTCGTTGTCTTGCACGCTCTCAAATATATGATGCTCAAGCACAGATTTTCTTGTGCGCTCTCAAATAAGCACTGCTGAAGTGATTATTTATGTAATGAGGATGTCTCCAACTTTTTATAAGATTTGCAAGGAATATTTATGAATGTCTCTAATAGACCTACAAAACGTCATTGATGCGTCCTGAAGTAAAGTGAAACGGCTAAAAAATCCAGCAAGATAAAGTCATTGCATGCAAGATTACAGAAGTTTGCTCTGTTATAATTCACTTATCTTTTAATACATTGAGGCGATTATAATCCGCTATAAAAAAAAAAAAAACATAACAACGGCTGAATGTTTTGAATGAGAAACTGTAATGTAGCCGTGGTGGGAATGAATTTTAGTGTGGCGCCCTGCCATGGAACAATGAATATAGCGGAAACCATGTACAGTCAAGCCCAAAATCATTCATACCCCTGGAGAATTCCGACTGCCATTTTTTGTTCAAAGGTAAATAAAAGCTTGGAAACATATATTTTTCCACAATAAACTTCTTGTACATTGTCTTATTATAGTTTGGGAAAGCCTGTGCCATTTTCAGTAATAATAATAAAAAAAAAAACTTTCCGGTTGATTTAAAGTAGTTTTAAGTCAGAATTTGTCAGGGGTATGAATAATTTTGGGCTTGGCAGTATATATAAAAATTTCCAGGCTTTCAATAACTAGAATAGAACTTTTAAAACCTTTTATATGCATTTTAGACCTTTTATTAAAATCAAATCATTTCAGATCTGTTGAAAAACATTTTAAAAAACTTACTGACCCCAAAGGTTTGGACAACGGCAGACAGATATTTAAAAGCACAATAAATCAAGAGACAGTTAAAGCAGCGTCCAACTAACAGACATTTCAAATGGAAAAGCTGACCAGTCTTCACTGTGAACCTATGCTGCATGCAAGTGTCTTACTGTTCCTGTCACTCTTCCATCACTGCATGTCACCTGTGGGTCTGAGCCATTACACACTATGCCAAACTGAAAAACACCTGCTCAATAAAAAAAATAAATAAATAAATCACGCGTGTATGTGTGTGTGTTATAAAAAGTGTGCTGCTTCAGTTTTTGACTCATACTCCACTTTACTAATACAGGTAAACAAACTCAAAACCACTTTCTGATACTTAAAATTGAACATTCATCTTGTCTGCAAAGCTCATGTCAGTTTATCGATCATGTTTAGCTCTTTCCACGGCATGTGAGAGGCCGACGGCGTGATGTAACCAGCTTCTCATCGAAAGACAAGAAGACCATCCACCTGAAGCTAAACACACTTGTCCTGCACATCATCCTGACCTGAACCTGATTAAATCTCCAGCCGTCAGTATGGATCTGATCAATAACCGAGGACTAAATCTGCTGCTCAACTTCCTGCTCATTTTTGTGGCTCTACTGCTCATGCTTATTCTGGTCAAGCTCATGTGACCAAAAAAAAATGGTTACAAGTAACAATGTACAATATATCGGTGGCCATAATGATATCAGCCAATAATGCTATTTTTTTATCGTTATCGTTCTGATAACATTATTAGGCTGATCTTAAGCCGAGAAATGATGTATTATTTCTGCTGGTTGAACCACTTCACGAGATTGCTGCTTGACACTTTTTTATTCATTTGATCACATTTAAATTGACACTTTTATATTTATTTTTTATTTTACTTGGTTTTGGTGACCATAAGGATATCGGCCAATAATGATATTTTTTATGTTATCGTTCTGATAACATTATTAGGCTGATCTTTAAGCCGATAAATGATGTATTATTTCTGCTGGTGGAACCACTTCACGTGCTTGCTGCTTGACACTTTATTTATTTAAATTGCATTTAAATACACACTTATATATTTCTTTCTTATTTTACTGGTATTTTGGTTTTGGTGACCATCACGATGTCAGCTGATAATGATAAATTTGTTTATTATTATCTGTCTGATAACAAAATTAGGTCAATAATTTTAAGCATATAAATCATGTATTATTTTCGCTGGTTGAACCACTTCACCTGTTTGCTGCTTGACACTTTTTTATTATTTTATTGGTATTTTGGTTTTGGTTAATGTCCAATAAATTGATTGTTTTGTTGCATTATTTTTGGTCAGGCAGTAGATTTTATTTATAGAAAAGAAAGTTAGCAATAGAACTGAACAGTTGACAGTTGTTTTTACAGTATAGAGATCAGCTCAAACATTTCTGAAGTTTTTAAATAAAATAAATTACAACGAATGATTAAAAAAAAAAATCATTCGTTCACTGAATGTTTCCAATTAAGGAGAAAAATTAGGAGGACAAAAGGATTTTTATTGGCTAATATATCAGCCTCTAAATCTAAAAAGTTACTGGTTATCCATCTCAGTTAAAAATATCGGTTTGCATTCGTAGCGAGATCCGAGATCCGTTTGTTTCAAGAAACTCGCACTTTATCTACATCTTAAACCATTTTAAAAGTTGCAGTAAATGACTTCAGACTTTTATTATTTTTTTCTGACTTCACTTATAGACCTGACAAACTTCCGCAAACTGATTAGCAGAAAAAGAATGATTCTGATTGGCTAGTTTTCGAAACCGGGCCCTAAGCAGTCGTAAGCAGTGCTGGTTCTGAAGCCTGGTTTCTCTCAAGTTTTTTTTTTTTCTTCACTTTCATCAAAAAAAAAAAAAAAAAATTGTTAAAGTGTTATCAGTCAAGAACCAAGCAAACCAATCACAACATGACAAAGCATGATTTAAAGCAAAATAACTGCATCAAAATTAGACAAAAAACAACAACAACAACAAAGCCTAACAACTTTTAACAAGAAAAAAAAAAAATCCTACGAAGCACTGCGACTAAAAATTTTAATTGTGTAGAGCTGCACTGGGAGTGGGTGGAGCTAAACATCTCTTATTGCTGGCTTTACTGCGAATCTCTGATTGGTGAATTCCATGCTAAGCATCATGGGAAATGTAGTTTTTTTCAGTATGTGTTAGACTTTCATTTACTTAATGCAAACAGATCAAATTAACAAAAACCGATATGTCTAATTAACATTATAGAGACTCACAACAACTTTGTCTTAAAAGGATTATGAGTTATTGATGATAATTTGAAATTTTAAAAATAAAGCTCAGCTGTCACTAAGACATTTTAAGACAAATTTTACTCATTTTGGCAGTAGGAATTTATGAGACTAACGTAATGTACAAATTTATTAATTATTTACTAAAAATGGATCCTGCTCTAAAGCCAAAAGTAAGATGATATTAATGATAAAATAAACAAAACAAATAGAGACGCTTTTTTAAAGTAGCAGAAGTGAACATCAGTACTTTCATTGTCATTTAGTTCCCTCTAGTGGTTGTTGCCTCTTTTTGCCTAATAAAATAACAACTAGGATAAAAAAAAAACTGATTTAGGTGAACTACAGGTTTGGAAATAGTTTGATGAATTAAAAAAGAAAATATATGCAAGCTCTCAGATCACATCACTCTTCTGATACTATATTACTATTGTGTGTATTATTCCTGCTATTTAAACGGTGTGATATGAAATATTTTAAAAAATCATGATGAAAAAACACAATGGTTTGCAAATACTATAATCCAAGTTGTAATATTTACATATTATTTATGCAATCACAATCACTGTGTTCTTGTTTTGTATCTGTGTGAATGTATTTATGACGTAACGATACGAGAAGGAATTATTAAGTGCTTGATATACAAGACAACATTAAAGCAAGCGCTGCAAATAAAACCCTTCCACTGATAATCAACCATTTGTGTGCTTCTTGTGATTAATAAATCCCGAATAAAACTGAATAATACATTTAAAGTCTTCAGTAGGGAAAATTAAAAACGTTTGAATATTCAGTCCTGCAGAGTCAAAAGAACAAACACTGGCTCTTCACTACTAAAAATAGACCCCTGACACAGGAGACTATAATCAGCATCTAATCAAAATTGACCTCATTTATTTTTCTAATGCTCATCGTCCTGGTCATACTGTGCATGATTCAGCGGAGCACATTGTTTTCCAATCTCTTCACTCAATCTACCTCATGGGTATTCAAACTCGGTCCTGTAGGGCCGGTGTCCTGGAGAGTTTAGCTGCAACCCTAATCAAACACACCTGAACTAGCTAATCAGGCTCTTACTAGTTATACTACAACAGGGTTCACCAACCCTATTCCTGTGCTGCTTCAGAATTCGCATACTATCCATCCTAAATAGTATTTTAAAATAGAATTAGTATGTCCCAAATCGTACTATGTCGAAAAGAGTATGCCAAAGCTTCCCGGATGGTTTACTATTTCCGGTGCAGAAGCGCAGAAGCGTCCATACTCTAACCGCTGATATTACCCATAGTGCATTGCGCGTTGGACGTGATTAGAACTACAAACGCAGGTGAAAAGTGTAAACAAACTACAAACATGATCGACGCGCAGGACCAACTGTCAAGTAGAGAGGCTTCGGTAAAGTTGTTTGTATGACTGTTAATCAATATCTAGCCAACTGAAAAATATTTAAATCGCGTGTTCTGTGTTATATTTCATCTGCAATAACTATACTGAACTTATATAAAGACATGTTTGGACATTAACATCTAAAGCTGAATCTTAACATTGAAGCTGCGGTCACACTGGGCTTTTCCTCCCATAGACTTCCATTCATACGCACGCAAATGCGTCAGACCGGAAACGCAGGTTGCTGCGGTGCAAAGTTCACGCTTGGTGAACTCTGGCCTGTGAAATCGTATCGCTTTACTGCAAGAGACCAATCGAGGGTCAAAACAAGGAGCAATCGCTCGCTTTTTTAAATGTCTAATAAACTTGTTTAATCCCGCCCCTTTTCGTAGCGCCGAACGACAGAATATCGCATGCTCAAACTCTAATGTGATCGCAGCTTAAATATGACTGAAATGTGGATGATTGACAAGGCTCATAACTTAGCAACCCAACGCTCTGTTAACGAGGAAGTAGTACGTCCCAAAGCTTGCATACTTTTCGATTACACACTCAAAAGTATATATTTTTCCTTCACAAAAAAGTACTTTCAGGGCGTTGTATAAGTTTGCGAATTGGGACGCAGCACTGGAGAGCTACCTTTCTGCTGAATTCTGCCACGCTCACACTAATATTTAAGCATGCAAACTTCTGTCATACGGTGCTGCAAAAAGGGGCAGGATTAAACAAGATGATTGGACATTTAAAAAAAATTTAAACATTTTGGTCCATATTTTAAGTTTCTGTACAGAGAGGTCATGTTTTGATCTTCAATTGGTTTCACAGTCACATAATGCAATTTCGCAGGTCAGAGTTCACCTTTGCAATACAAACTGAAAAAACTTGCCGCACGTGCATGCGTTTTCCGGCGTGTCGCATTCAAATGTGTATGAATGGAAGCCTATAAGGTGAAAAGTGCAGTGTGTCCGCGATTTTAAGCTCCAACCCTGATCAAACACACCTGAACTAATTTAGTAGAACCTGAAGCAGCACTTGATAATTAGAGACAGGTGTGTTTGGTCGGGGTTGCGACTGAAACCTGCAGGAAGGCAGCTCTTTAGTGACCCCTGTACTTGAAATTTCCTGTCAGGTGTGCTGAAGCAATTTGGAGCTAAACTCAGCAGGATACCAGCCCTCCAGGAACGAGCATGGATCTACATGAACATATTCTGGAATGTTATGGAAAAATATAAAAAAAACATTGGCAGATCAAATAAATACTGTTTTACTATGGACATCACATTATTTGTTTTAACAAACTGAGGGAACATTTTAAATGAAGTTACAATAAAAACTTTAAATTTAATAATTATTGTCTTGGCAACAAATTAAATGCAGCTTAGATAAAGCAAATGTTAACTAAAACTGAAGCAAAAATTTGTATGATTTTTTATCAATTTTAAAATAAATTTGTAAATATTTTCATTCAACAAAATTGTACATAAAACGAAAACTTAAATTTTACTTTAAATTTTAAAGATAAAACTTTACATTTTCCTTTAGACATATAATATGAATAGAGAAAAAAATGTATGTATATAATTAATGAGAAAAAAAAAATATATATATATAAAATACTACAGCACATTTAAATTAAAAAACTAAATACTAAATATTTAATATTATAAAATAAACAATTTGAAACAATATAATGAAATTCAATCTAAAAGTAAAATAAAAATGAACAATAAATATTGTCATACTAGATAAATACTAAATAACATAAATGCAATGCTAAAATATAATCACTTAATAAAACAATACACTACTATGTCATATTTCTTTATATGGAACATAACTTGAATTTTTGTCACATAAAAAAAAAAAAAAGATAACTAAAGCATATTTCATTTCTTTATCCTGTGGCTTCTGCTGTAACCAATAATTCCTCCTTCCACTGGGCCTCCACCAGAGGGCGCAGCAAACCTATTTTTTTTTTAAGTGGAATTCTTTTTCCAGCATTTCTTTGCTGCTGCCACAAAGCCAATTCTACATCAACACCTCAACCCCATACTGAATGAAAATAATAAAATAAAATGTAATATGTTAAATTTGTAGTACAGAAGACTGAACAGAGTGCTATGTTGTTTGGATATTTTATTTTATTGTTAGGATAAAATAATCTAAAATAAATAAAATAAATGATACTAAATTAAAATAATAAATAATAAAAAAAATAATTTTATTTTATTGTCTGGATAAAATAACCTAAAATAAATAAATAAATAAACAAATAAATAATACTTAATTAAAATAATAAATAATAATAAAATAAATTCTAATATAAAATGATTTAATTATGTCAAATTTGTAATGGGTAAACTAAACTAAAACAAACAAACAAATAAATAAATAAATAAATAAAATAAAATAAAATATAAAATAAAATTAAATAAATCCTCCAGTAGCACCCATCATACGTCAGTATCCCCTACATAAAAAACAACAACAAATCTGACCTGTTCAGAGTCTTGTCTGAGTCTCTCCCTCTGCTGCTGCTGCTCCTGCTGCCATGATCCACACCCGTCAGGTCCCGGCCGGTACTCCATCTGCTCACTCAGCCACATCTGAGTCCTGACCGCTGGCTGGATGGGTGACCCACCGACCGCCTGCTGCCTGAGTGAAGACGACCCTCTCTGTCCCGTCGTTGCCAGTCCCACAGGTGGCGTCTTACTCTCTGGTAAGGCACTAAAACTGAGGTCTAGTGTACTCGGCTTCAGGGGAGATGAACAACATGAGTCCGATTTACCTAAAGTGTTGCTGCTACCCAGGTCATACTTATTGGTCGAAAGTTTAAGCAAGTTTTCAGAAATAAATCCATCAGAGTATTGAGGGTCGTGCCGGTATCCGTAAAGCACACCTCGATCTAGGGATCCATGTGGGTCCGTGCGGTGGGAAGGACGGTTTGTTGGAGAGGGCTTTTCTTGGGCGGTGAGGCGGGTGAGGGAGGACCATCGACGCACGGGACGGGGATCCTTCATGTCCAGGGGGATGTCGAGAGGTGAGGGAAGCTGGCAGCTGCTGCTCCAGGGGCTGCTGGGTGCAGAGGGAGCGCTGAGTTTGGAGTTGGATGGAGAGGGCATGACGTGGGCCGTCGGGATCGGGCCGTGGGGACGCAGAGGGAGGAAGGACAACGTCCCGCTAGAGCTGGAGTGATCTGGAAGAGAGAAAAGTTTTTACTATTTTTTAAAAAGTTTTTACTCTTGGACTGTAATGAGTAAAATTATTATTATTCTTTATAACAATAATAATAATACATTTAAAAGTGTAAAAAGTCAAATTATGATTTCACCAATCATAAAAAAAAATAAATAAATAAATATTGGAGAGTTCCAAGCAATTGTTTTTAAAATATTCTTATACGGGCTGACGATGACAGATTTATTTAATTAAAACCAATTCTAAAATAAAAAAAGAGAAAGTGTTTGGATGTTATTCTTCAACTGTAATGAATGTAATAAGTGTTTTTTTTAAAAAAATAATAATAATACGTGTAAAAAAAAACATATTATGATTTTCCCACACAGCATAAAATGAAAAAAAATAATAATAATAAAACTTTTTTATATTATTTTTACACAGGCTTTTATAAAAATAGTGACGATAGATACATCAAAATAAATTATATGTAATAAAAAAGAAAAAGGGAAAACATAAAATAAAAATAATAATAAATAAATATGCGTTCAAAAAAAGTCATGTTATGATTTTCCTAAACCCAATAAAATGAAAAAAAAAAAAAAAAAAACACACACAAAACAGTAAATTAATATATATTATTCTTAGGCTTTTATAAGTATAATGATGATAGATTTATTAAAATAAAAAAGAAAATGGAAAACATGGTTAAAAAGAAAAAAAGAAGTTAGATTTGGACTGTAATGAATGCAATGAGTGATATATATGTTTTATAATAATAAAAGAATATTATGTGTAATAAAAACAGTCGTCATATGATTTCCACAAACAGCATAAAATGAAAAGAAAACAATAAAAGAAAACAAAAACATTTAAAACTTTGAATTGAAGAGTTCTAAACAAGTGTTTTTTTATATCATTCTTACACAGGTTTTTTTTTATTAATTTAATTAATGATAGAGTCATAAAAAATAAATAAATTCAATCATTTATTTTCCTCCAGCTTAGTCGCTTTATTCATCAGGGGTCGCCACAGCGAAATAAACTTACAACTTATCGAGCATATGTTTTACACTGTGAATGCCCTTCCAGCTGCAACCCAGTACTGGGAAACTTCTATACACACTCATTCACACACACATGGACTAAGGCCAATTTAGTTTACCCAAATTACCTATAGCAAATGTCTTTGAACTTGTAAGAGAAACCGGAGTACCCAGAGGAAACCCACGCCAACACGAGAAGAACATGCAAACTCCACACAGATATGCCAACTGACCCAGCCTGAACCCCAGCGACCTTCTTGCTGTAAGGCAACAGTGCTAACCACTGAGCCACTATGTCACCCAAAAAAATAAATTCAAAAATAAAATTAATGAATTATGTAAAATTTGTAGTACATAAGACTGAACAGAGAGCTAAACTGCTCATTTTTTAACAAAATAAAATTCATTAATTCATTTTCCTTCAGCTTAGTCCCTTTATTTACCAGGAGTTGCCATATCAGAATAATCTGCATAAAATAAAAAAAATATATATTTAAAATAAAATAAAAATAAAATATAATAAATAAAATACATTTTTTTACGAATTTTATAATGTATGAACTAACATTCAAAGTTACATGAAGACAAACAAAGAAAAGCTTCATGTAAAAGTGATCAACAAACGAGCTGTTTTCCATGCTCTTGTTTGAAAGGTATTAGACAGAGACATTTGAAGTGGCAAGCCTCTGATGAGGTTTACAGGAAATGACTACTACAGGAGCACAAATAGAGCATATAACACTCCGCTCTAAGTCTTCCTCGGAGACACAAAGTAACTGAAAGGAGATGATCTAATACTGACACCCAGAGTCCTCCAACTGCCCTGACTGCCACAGGGATTCCCCGATCATACACTCCACAAAAACAGAAACACAACTCATCTGACTCTGAGTCAGTGGAGAAGAACAACACACACACACGCCTGTACAAACAGGTCTGATTTAAAGTAATACATGTTAAGCATTTTATTAAATTGTAAAAAGAAACACAACACAGCAATTATTATGAGAAGACATTTAGATGAACTATTAGACATCTATTGGATGTATATAGAAGATAAATATGACTAAAATACTTATTTTACAAATGCAATATGTATTACTTTGCAATATGCCCCCACCGGCCACTTTATTAGGTACACCTTACTAGTACCGGGTTGGACCCCCTTTTGCCTTCAGAACTGCCTTAAGCCTTTGTGGCCTAGATTCAACAAAGTACTGGAAATATTCCTCAGAGATTCTGGTCCATATTGACATGATAGCATCATGCAGTTGCTGCAGATTTGTCGGCTGCACATTGATGATATGAATCTCCGGTTCCAACACATCCCATAGGTGCTCTATTGGATTGAGATCTGGGGACTGTGGAGGCCATCTGACTACAGTGAACTCGTTGTCTTGTTCAGGAAACCAGTCTGAGACTCAGAACTGAGTGTATCGAGTGGTTATTTGAGTTACTGTTGCCTTTCTATCAGCTCAAATCAGTCTGGCCATTGTTCTCTGACCTCTGGCATCAACAAGGCATTTGCGCCCACAGAACTGCCACTGGATATTTTCTCTTTTTCAGACCATTCTCTGTAAACCCTAGAGATGGTTGTGCGTGAAAATCTGAGTAGATCAACAGTAGGCTCAGAACAGCCCGTTGGCACTTGGTACCAACAACCATGCCACGTTCAAAGTGACTTAAATCCCCTTTCTTTGCCATTTAGATGTTCAGTTTGAACTGCAGCAGATCATCTTGACAATTGTCTTGATGTTTACATGCCTAAATGCATCGAGTTACTGCCATGTGATTGATTGATTAGAAGCTTGCGTTATTGAGCAGTTGGACAGGTGTACTAAATAAAGTGGCAGGTAAGTGTATATTTCAATATGTATCACATAATATGTATAGCAAAACAAAAACGCACTCACTTTCATGCTGCATATTTCTTTCTTTATCTTAAAACAAAACAAAAGCACAACACAGAACACAAAAAAAAAAAAACACAAAACAAACTCAATTTCGTTCTGCTTATTTTTTTCTTTATCTTAAAATAAAACACACACAAAAAACAACAAAAACAAAACATATTTTCCTTCTGCTTATTGCTTTTTTATCTTTACACAACAAAACAACACAAAATAAACTCACTTTCATTCTGCTCATTTCTTTCTTAATCTTAACAGAGCAAAAAAAAAAAAGCACATTTCTTCTTCTAAAATGTAAAATTAAATTACATTATGGAAATTGACCAAATAAGTGCTTTAAAAAGTGTTAAACTCTTATACTGGAATAAATGAAACGAGTGAAATAAAATTAAAAATAAATTATTAAAAGTGACAAGTCACACATCATTTTAAATCACAGTGTTTTATTTCTCCTGTTCTTCACAAAACATTTCTGTTTGTGCTTCCCTTCTCCATTATTTTCCTTGTGAGCTATAAAAGTCACTTGAGAAATTAGCAGGTAATTCCCAAAGTAATATCAGAGACATCAGATTAGGTTTCAATGTTCATAAAAGTCTATAAATTTTAGAATGACAACACTCAGCCTTCTTCTTAGGCTAAAGTAAAGTGCTCGTCTCTATGGAGGCTCTTTGTGTGTCTGCCAATAGAAGACCAGCTGGATGAGGAATTCCTCTGAAGAGTCTCTGCTACAGCAAATGTGCACTACTTTACACACATACAGTACTGAACACTGCCAAACCACCACAGAGATCAAATCTCCGGCATTTACCTGCTCTTCCAGACTACTTTCACTTCTGCTTTTAACGGCCGTGTTAATTGCTGTGTAATGTGATAACTTGTTTTTGATTATCTCATTGGTCACTCAAGGTCGAGATAAATGGGGATTTCAAGACTTTCTGAACTTGCAATGCTTTAATTTCTGCCATTATAGAACAAGTCTACTTGGGTGGGGGTGAGGATTTATGGTTGTTTATAAAACAATCATATGCTGCATTCTCTCTACATTGAACAAAAATTGCAATAATAAAAAGTACTGTTCACAAAAAAGACTTTCTGAACCAGAGCCAAAACTGGCACATTTTCTGAGCTTCTTATAACAAACAGATAAAAAAACACACATTATAGATCAATAAAACTTGATGGTTTGATAAATGGAAAGGCGGGTTGAATAAAAAGTACAATGATATAAAAAAGGATGGATGATGGATGGATGGAATATAAGAACAATTCATATACATTGTTGAGTGGTTGGATGAATGGTTGATTGTACGATAGAAGGATATAATGACAGAATGATTGACAGAACGACAGAATGATTGATAGATTGGCAGATAAAATGGCAGATAAAATGACAGAACAACAGACAGACTAAGAGATGGATATATAGATATATAAAACGATATATAAAATGATAGAACAATAAATAAAATGACAGATGGATAGAACGATAGAATAGAATGATGGATGGATGGATGGATGGATGGATGGATGGATGGATGGATGGATGGATGGATGGATGGATGGATGGATGGATGGATGGATGGATAGATAGATAGAGACAGACAGACAGAAAAAACGATGGATGGGTGGATGGATGGATGGATGGATGGATGGATGGATGGATGGATGGACGGATCAATCTTCTTCACCTCTATTAAAAGATAAACAGAATCTAAAAATCAACAAGTGAAAATATTCATGAAAACTGTATCAAACAGCAAAAGCAGAGCTTAGAAATGCGAAAAAGAGCAGACAGGAATGTGTAAACCACGACAGACTAATTGTTCGTGTTTACGACTTTAACAGGCTTATGTGAAAATCACACACTAGACTCTTTAAAACAGAAGAAAACCACATAAATCCAACACAATCAAGCAGCTTTTATCCACAACATCATGATTTAATACTGAAAACCTGCGTTCTGCACATGACAAAAGAGTTTTAGCATACAGCATGTTACTTTCTATCCTTATATAGTCAAACTGCCTCCAAAATCTCCTTATATTTGGAGCGGCGTGTCGTAA